TTTTAATTTTCATTGGCCATTTACTTGTGGATAACTTAAACATTTATTCCCACGGTTGGAAAGAAGTTTTGTTGTGGTTTTCACAATCTATGGATCCGTGGATGTTGAAACCATGCAGGTTTAGTGGCAAAGCTCCTGTTCACGTGGTTGATTTTTGTCGATCCCTGAACCAGGGCCGCACTTGCTAGTTCCGCCTCATCGCCCGCCCGGGTGGGTTTTATTACTCAGCCCTGGGGACTCTTAAATGACCCTTCGGTAATTATTACGCACTCGAAGTCCCTACGTCCCCGTTCCGATGCTATCAACAATCAAATCAAACTCCAAAATAAACATACGATTTCAAGCATTAATTAGAAAATCTGCATGTTTTCTATAAGGCTAGAAAGTGAGCATACAGCAGTCAACCAAACCAAACAAACAAGCCAAGAAGAAAAAGCCACGAGCCGAACTGTTTCCTTACAAATTGTTTCAGCAAGAAAATCGTTACTAGTGCTACCTGAACAAAAGGAACACAGCGGTGTCGTAATTTAACTCAAATTCTGATATTTCCAATACTTTTTAAAATTGATGATGTTTTTCTTGCGGAGTGTTGCAAGAACTTCTGAAAATAAGAAATTTACTCTAAAGAATAAATACAACACCGCGGTCGAATTCGTGATCCTGACAAATGGAGAGAGTGGGCTGGGCTGTCCACGTTCATAAAGGTTCCGATGCTACAAACCTATGATCCTATATCCTATGATTTTAATCTGTGGGAAAGTTCCCCCTCCTTCACCTCCCCCCGCCCCCAACCTTGCGCCAAAATTTCCTTCCCTGCTAACTCGAGGGGTGGGGGTGGGTGGGGGGAATGGCCTCGCCTTTCCCTCGATTTCAGAGCTCCCTTCGTGATAAAAGTGCTGTTTTTAGGATTCCACTGGAAATGAAGTACTGCAAGGATCCTTAAAACTTGTTCTGAGTTTTTAGCTGCGTTATCTTATGCCTCCCTGCAAAGCTGAAGTCGTCCTCGTTAATTTTAGAAAAGCTCACAAGCTCAACGAACAAAAGGGGGACTCCAGCAAAACTTTTGTCACTTTAACCTCTTTCAAAAAACGGCACTCTTTTTCATAGACGTTAAATAGGAGGGGAGAGATATGAAAGGAATATAAGCCCCCAACCGACCTATGCTTGAGGTCTCTTAGCTCAATCTTGGAAACTGTTGCAAACCTCCCACGCTCACTGGCGATTTTTAAAGGGGGGAAAGTCTTATGAAAGTGTATCTCCAGTCCCAATCAAAACATCAATTTGGCAATCTGGCCTCTCTCCCCCTGCACTCGGGAGCTGCCACTTCAAAGCCGCTACAACAAGTCAGTAATTGTAACGTTGCATCTAAATATTTAAGCGAGAGTCTTGCAGTCGCGTGTCCATTTACAGTCCTCATCTGTCCTCTAATTCCATTACGGCACAAAGCAAAAATGTTTCCCAAAACTCACAAACAGGAAAAGCGTCACCCTTCTGCAGGAGGGGGAGGAGGAGGAGGAGATGATGAAGGAGCAGTTTCTATTGATTAGTCACCGCTTTTGTGTTAAAGGCTTTCTTTAAAATAAGAAAAAAAAAAATGGGGGGAGGTTGCAGAAATTTCACTAATGTGAGCCTCAGGCAAGGGAGGGAAAAAAAGGGGGAGAAGAAGGGGGAGGCGGGCTCTGTCTAGATGAAAGTGAGAAGGACATAAAGGAGGCAATTGAGCCCGCTGCAGCCCGGCGAGCTAAGCTTCGTGCCGGGCCGGAGCGCAGGGGAGGGGGCCCAGCCCATTGTGGCGGCGCCCGCGGGCCGGCTCGGCCGCGCAGGGGGAGGAACAGAGGCGCCCATTGAGCAGCCGCAGCGCTGGCAGTGCCCACAGCCCCCGATGCTCGGCTGGGGCTTGGCTTCTCCGGCTGCGCCTGCTCCGATCTCAGTGCGGGCCTGGGGCGAGGGGGTAGCGGGTGGGTGTTCCCGAGCCTCCAAACCTCTCCTTTAACCAGGGCTACGGAGCTGGAAGGATGGACCCAGCAGGGGCGCACAGCGCCTAGTGTGCGCCAGGGCGCGCGGCCCCCAGTGCACCAGGTCTACACGCAGCGTGGCTCTTGGATTGGGAGAGGAAAAAGGAAAAGTTAGGCGGGTAAAGGGGGCGATCTAAGAGAAAGGGCAAGACCCTGGAGAGAGAACGAGGTGGTTCTGGCCTCTTTCACAGTGCCTCTCTCCCGGTGACCTCCTAGTGTCTAGCTCGGGCCAAAGACGCCCCCTGGAAAGCAAGTCTCAGAAGCACCCCCCATGCTGGAACCTCCGGCGAGAGCACAGAGCGCCGGTCAGAGCACCCCCAAGTCCCTCCTCCGTCAGCTTTCTCCTCCCCCTTCACCAGGGCGCTCAGAGCCCTTGATCAACACTCACCCTATTTTACAAGCAGGGCAGCCTGCTACTTTTGATGCCCAAACCACAGAGGGGGATATTTGAAGTTTCTAGACTTCAAACTACACCTCACTGTGTCCTTCCTCTAAGCCCCTCTTGCCCTCCGGGGCTCATCCGGAAAGGGAGCTAGAAGCCTGAGAGACTGACGCTGCCTCTTCCTTGACAACCCCAAATTAAATTCGGTTTCAGCCTCTGAGGGCTCTGTGTAGCGTATGTGTGTGCGCTCACGCGAGTGTTTTCAACGGCACAGCCCCCACTGGGGAGAATACTCTGATTTTAAAAATGGTAGCAATTGCTTTTGAATGGCAGCCGGCCCAGCTAGATGGCCCAAAAGACTAGAAACATTTTGTAGGTGAAATGGCCACTTTTTCCACGCTGGAGAGTACATAAAACTTCCTGGCGCAGCAGCTATTGGGGCTCATTGAATAATTCATCCCTCATTGCAAGCCCATAATGTCTATTCTCAGCCCTTTGTGGGGCTGTTTTCTCTTCTTTTCTCCTTGAATTATAAAAAGGTTGCCTTCCTTTGTTCACATCAAGCTGCTCCAAGCCAGAGCTTTGTCTGGGCCGAGCTAAAGTGTGAGTTTCAATGGACTCTCCAGGCTTTGTCTCCCAAGTTCATCTCCAAGTGTGGATTGTGTAGAGAAGGCCTTCTTTGTAAAAGCTGGAAAAGTTGTACAAATGTTTGACCAGCTCATTTGGGACGTTTTTTCTCCTGGACCTCGGTTGCCTGTGCTGTGAGGGAGAAGCCGATCTGCCATGCCAGCGCCTCCAGCAACAAGTAGCAAAGCCGTGGGCCTCTGAGCTTCACCAAGTGCTCTTTTACCCACTGCCCAAAGGGGCCCATTTGGTTTGGGGTTGGCTGGCTCCTCACCTTTCTCCCTCCCCAGCACCTCTGTGCTGCAGCAAGGCCTGAGATAAAAGCCGAAGTGTTTTCTCAGAGATGAGGGCAGAAATACATCCCTCAGAAAAGAAGGACCTAGACTGAGTCCATGTGAGGCCCCTGCTGTACAGGGAGGGAAGTAACAGCTTATGTTATCTCCTTGCCCAACATGCTGTGATTTGAGGTGTCTTTTCCTGATTGCCTGTGTGCACCACAGCATTTACACATCTGTTTATCCTCAAAATCAGACATTTGGATTTTTAACATCCAAATCTAAGTGTTCCTTCAAGGTTGTGTACAGATTTTGCATTGGTTTGCAAAGCAGCTGCTCTGGAGGGCCAGTGGCCGCCCCAGCTAGGGTTGGGCAATGAAGGTAAAAACTACCACTTTCCTAACTCGCAGTCCCACCCTGGACCCAGCTTGCTGAAAGGGATGACCGGCCTAAGGGTCGCCTGCATCTGTAGGGCAACTCCAAAATTCAAGTCAACCCAGTGAATTCCATGCCACAGGCAAGCAAACTCCAGGTGCAGGATGCCTGGCCATTCCTGACCATTTGCTCATTTGAAAAGGTGCAATCATCTCCAAGGCCAGAGCCACTGAGACACAATTTCCTCTCTCCTGCTTCAATGATCAATTCCTGGTTCAATTCCAATGGCACTGACTTTCTTTTCTTTCTTTATGTGTGTTTGTGTATGTACCTTTAAACTGTGAGATGACTCGCAGCAGGTGAAAGAGAAGCTGGCTGCACTGCTGGCTTCCCTGGGGAAGATTTTCTCTTGGTGATGATAGGCCACAGTCAACAAGGTGTGGTTGGCTTGCACCCTGGGGGACAGAGTGTTCCAGCGCTAGGAGCCCAAGAACCCAGATCTCTTGGATTTGAAACCCAGAGCTTGCGCTCCTTTCAGTTCCCAGACACACACAATTTAAACCCCACCACATTTGAAAACCAATTTTAAACAAATTAAAAACAGCCAGTTTACACACACACACACATACACACACACACATTCATAAAGCAACCAATGTGGGTCAACTTTGGGGACCCACTGCCCAAAAAAGTTCTCTCTCTCTTTTACACACAATTTAAACCCCACCACATTTCCGCGCGCCTTTTAAACAAATTAAAAACAGCCAGTTTACACACACACACACATACACACACACACATTCATAAAGCAACCAATGTGGGTCAACTTTGGGGACCCACTGCCCAAAAAAGTTCTCTCTCTCTTTTTCTCTCTCTCTTTTCTTTGATGTGGGAAACTCTGGAGAGTAGGGCCTTTCCTGAGGGTGCAAAAACCACTTCGACTTCTGGAGGCTCAAGTGCCCCCTATCCCCAGCCCCCCAATTGCTCAGAGACACCCAGTCCCCTACATCTGAAAGCAAGAGGGTACCCCCACCTCCACACACCTAGAACGCAATTCACAGTTCTAGACTCCAAGGGGGTGGAAGTGCTGCAGAAGAAAAATTTACAAAGTAGAAAAATTAAACAGAATAGAGAAAAATTTTGTTTTAATTGTACGTATCTCTCTGGTTTTTCATTTGAATGCCCTTACCCAGGTGCAGTGGCTGTGAGCGGGGAGGGACCTTGACTCGAGCCCGGGCTGGGCAACCATCAGGCCCCCAGCGTCAGGGAGGCGATGATCACAAGGCCAGCCAGGGCCCAGAGCGCGCGGCCCGACGCGCCGCCGCTTACCTCGCTCGCTCAGGATGCCGTCTATGCTGTGTTTGGCCTTCTTTTCGCTTTCCTCTGTCTCCTTCCTCTCCAGGTCGGCCTCCTCCTCTTCACCTTTCCCAAATTTACTCCTCAGGATGCGGCTGATAGAACTCACTGGGGGCAGGAGGAGGAAAAGAACGCACACGACTGAGATGCGCTGGGCCGTGCAGGAAGGAGCCCCCCAAGCCCCAGCCAGGGCGCTGGAACTGCTGCCCTGCACAGCTCGGTTCTGTCTGCTCCTGCGTCTCAGGGCACCCGGTCTTTCCACCACCCTCTCACCCATCCACCGAAATCCTGCACCCTATGTCGGCATCTAGGTGCGGAAAGACGGAGCCTGGGAAGCCCGCGCCTCCAAGTTAGGGCCGGGTGATGCCATCTCGGTCTCTCTGTTCCCGGCAGGACGCGTTTCCTTCTCGACTCCAGACACCCGGCTCTAGGTCTCCAATCTAACAGAATTCTCCCGCCAGCCCTCCCTGCACCCTCCCTCTTCCCCAGCCGAAGGCATCGTCGGGCCCCGCGGTTCGCGTTAAGGGAGGAAGAGCCACGGTAGACCTGTCCCCTGCCACTCAGTCCTTTTTTTTTTTTTTTTTTTTTTTTTGAAGCTCTAAACGGTTTAAATTTCAACTGCAGAATCGTTTCCTATTGTAAAAATCAAAAGAAAATGCACTCTCCTCCATTTATTTTTTCCAGATTCCAAGTCTGGTAAACAAATCCATGCTCTGAAATAGAACGTTCTTGCAGAGGGAAAAAGGGAGTTTCCTTTTAATTAAAAACAAACTCCCGCGCGCCCTCGAGCTGGCCCTGCGCTCGCCCCTCTTTCCCCTCCGCCTCCCCCAGGCTGCCGGGGGCGCCGGACGGTCCCTGAGACTTTGGGGGAAATTCGTGCAGTTACCGAAGCCGCGCCTCCTTTGCGCGCACGGCAAAGTCGTGGCTGGCGAGGTCCCATCTCCCTTCGGTTGGGGTTACCAAAACATTTGTTTCTCTTTAAAAGGGAACATCAATATTAATAAACGCTTGGCCTCAGCCTCACGTTTCCTGCCCTGCCTCCTCCGCAGAAATCCTCTTTGGGGAGACCTCAGTGGAGGTCTCTCAACCCTCCGCCCCCAGGACAAGCAGCTCACCCCTCCCTGCGTAAAACGCCCAGAATGTCTGGTTCGTAAATATTTCAGGGCCTGGGGAGAGGCTGCCTCCCAATAGCCCAGATCGATAATTGGGGTGATTATAGCTTGGACGACCCGCCTGGGTAATAGCGACTGACGGCCGCGCCTTGGGGAGACGTTAATGGGCCTAGTACCTGAGGGCACGGTGTTTCGATCACAGACCGCGTCCTTGAGTAATTTGTCTCTGATTTCCCAGCTGAACATGCCTGGATTCTCTCTTTTGTATTCCTCAATTTTCTTCTCCACGTCAGGCGTTGTCACCTGCTTTAAGAGAACAGGCGGACCGGCGTTGGTACAAGGTACTCTGGGCCAGAGGAGGGGGCTCCACCGCCTCCGGGCCTGTCCGGATGCTCCTTCCTGCATCCTCTGGGAAAGTCCCCCTTGTCAGCAAAAAGACCCCAAATCTCTGAGGCAGTTTACTGTAGAAAGGAGCAAACAGAAGATCGTCCCACCCCAAAGCATCCTGGGGACACTTCACCTCCCCAGATAAGCTCCGACAACCGGGATAAATTGAGAAGAATTATACCATCTTGGGGCAGGGGGGAATTTTACTTTCTGATCCCTGAAAATAAAGGCAACTCCTTACACAGAATCAACACGAAAATGAAACTAAAAAAGAAATGCTTGAAAGAGGAGCTGAAAAATCAAGTGAGATCTGCAACTTGTGCCTCTTCGAAGGGGCACAAAATGAGGTAAAGTGAAGAGTAGAATGAAAAGCAAAAGGTAAGCATCCAGGTTGTAAAAAAATTCGATTGGATAATAAATGTGCATAATTTGAGAGTCTGGCTCTTCCCCCCACCTTCAATAAAAAGTGCCCAAAGATTCTTAAAGAGACTGTGAAGGTGTTTGGGTGGGGAGGAGGGAAGGGGAGGTGTTTGCAAGTCTTCACTTTACCATAACCCTCTCGATTTTGCCCTGTGGCAACTAGAAAATCGTACTGGCTTCTCTCCACATCCAGAAGAAAAGGCAGACCCTGTGTAATTCCCTTCCACTCAGCCCTAAACAGCGTGCTTCTCTTTTTTTCGAAAGGGAACTAAAATAATTTGAAAATAGCACCAATCTGCTTTTTTAAAACGTAATCATCATCTCATTACAAAAACAAAAACAAACAAACAAGCAAAAAACCTAATCACCCTAGCTTTTGACTTTTCGAAAACAATTTGCACTGGGGGAGACTGAGGGCAGAGGTTGAGAGAGAAACCTTTAGAAAACCGAGGGGACCCTTCGATTTGTTTGGGGAGGGCGGTGCTGTGGGTGGGGGCTGGGAAGAAATCGGCAACAGGTGGCACGTACAGCTTGCGTGCTCTAGGTGTTTGTTTGACTGTTGAAGTAATTCGACGAGGGGCTGGACATTTAGCTCAGTTAGTTACAGCCGGTTTTATAACACCAAAGTCAAGGCTTCGAATCCTCTTACCGGCCAGCCACCAAAAACAAAGCAAAATAGTCTGGTGAGGATTCTAGGGTTCTTGGGCATAAAAGAAACAAATGTTACTTTTCTCTTGCAAAAAAAAGCAAGAGCCTCCCTTACCGTTCATCAAGGAGCGTCGGGCTCCGGCAGCATTTCCCCCCACGTCCCCTTCACGGACTTGAGAAGTAACTCCCTGGAAAACCCCAGACGGCAGCCCTTGCCCCCTGCCCACTCTTTCCCAACCCTGGGACCACAGGCCGGGAGGCATGAGGGCCAGGCCCGCGCACTCACCTTGGGCTTGCTGCCACCAATGGCACCGGGACGGATGGAGCCCGTCTCCTGGTACCTGCACAGGATCTTGGAAACGCAGCCGTGGGACACACGCAGCTGGCGCGAGATGACGCAGGGCCGAATGCCGTGGTGGGCCATCTCCACGATCTTGTGGCGGATGTGGTTGGGCAGCGGCCTGCCGTTGATAAAAACGCCGCCGAGCTGGTTGACGCGGCCCTGGCCGAGGGGGGTGGACACTGGGAGGAGAAGGTGAAAAAGAGAGACAAGGGGACAGTCACTTAGGAAGAAAAGAAAGCAGCGCGAAAGACAAGCCCACCTTATTTCGCACTCTTCTGGCCAATCCGCATGCAACAATCCCAACACTGAAACTGCTGGACACTTGACTTCCAGTCCTGGACCCTCTTCCGATCACATTTATTCAAATAATTAAGCAATTTAGGGGCATATAATTTTGTGTGAAGCGAGTAATCGGGGCAAGAAAACTCGCCCCAGAGAAACTGTCTTCTCTTTGAGCCCAGGAGGGATGGCAACTTGGAGGGAGACCCTGGGGCTGGTACAGAGTCTATCTTGCCTTAGAAACAGCCTCCTGGTGGAGAGTTCACCCAGGCGCTGGGCCTCCTGAACTCTGCTGCCACCAAACACTGCCCAGTTGGGGCCCTCCCTTTCTAAGTGGCTTGAGGAAACTGACAGCCTTGGGGTTTCTAGCTAAGAGTGCAGCAGCCAAGGGTCAAAGAGGGTCCCAAAAGGAGGTGCATGTCACCTGTTACACCTCGGGAGGGAGATGGCAACCACGGTGGGTCTGCTCGTGAACCCCCCCAGCGCCCATTCATGCTCTGGCTATTAGATTCTACTCTGGAGGGAAAGGCAAAGAGCGCCTCTGGATCTGCAGTCCAGCTCAGGCGCCCTGACCTCGCAAACCGTTTGTAAGGACTCGGGCTTGCACAGCTTCCTGCTTCCCGGCCCTGGGATTCCCAGAATCTTCAGGTTGACTGAAAGGCGGTTCCCAAACAAGTTATAGAAACTTCGAGATGCCACTTGAGATGAATGGAATTCTAGTTAATTAATACTAAAAATATCAATCACGATGGCGTGCGTTGTGCAAACCACAACTTGGCACGGCAAGAAAATTCTTCCCGAACTTAAAAGAATTTCACAAATGTGGGTACAGCGGGGACAATTTTGAGATGACTTCGGGTGGACAAAATGCGGAAAAGTTGCTTCTGGTGCTCAGAAGCCGGTTCACCACCGTCCATACCGCGGCATTTCCAAATCAACAGAGGGAAGGGGAGCCGGCCCGCTGCAGGCCTGGCTGCCAAGCTCCAGGAGGGTTTGCAGAAAGCACCGCGCTCGGTTTGCAGAGAGAAAACCAACTGGGGCCTCGCCCCTGAATGTTGCTTCTCGGGGTGGGGGGTGCCTGGGGAATGGGCTCCTTGGACGCACCAAAGGAGCCTGTGGAAACCCGAGATAAGGCGGGACAGCCGGTCCCAGGCCCCGGAATCCGGGCGGCGCTGAGGCCCTCCCTTACCTTCCAGTGGGAACCCGCTGCGCGGGTAGTTCTGCCCCGGGCCCGGCCGCATCATCCTGGGCACAGCGCCGGCCAGCGTGGTCATCCTGGGGGCAGCTTCGCTCAGAAATTATATCCAGGTGAAGGCGAAATAGAGAGACGAGCGCGGCGCGGGCGACCCTCGGGAACTTTCCGGAGCGTGGACAGCCCCTCCCCAAAAAGGCTGGAGAGAGGGAGGGACAGGCGGAGGGGGGCTGCTCTCCTAGTCCAGAGGCTCGAGGTGGAACCCGGGAAAGGGGAGGGCGGGGAGGCCCCAGAGTCCAGGATCTCGAGCCCAGGGCGGAAAAGTTTGGTGCGAGTCTGGGCGAAGGGCCCCGCGGCTGCGGGCGCCGGCGAGGGGGCTCAGAGCGCCAGGACGCGCCGGGCAGGGGGGGGAAGCGGGAGCGCGGCCTGCCCGAGTCTCCTCCCGTCGTGACACCGAGTGCGGGGATCCGGGCTCGGGAGCATTTATTAGTTCTTTCACCCAAAGCTTGGTCAGGAGCCCTGAGCTGCGATTGGCCGACGGGGAGACCGTCCCGGGTGGCGGAGACACGCGCTGATTGGGCGACAGCGGCCACTTTCTCTTCCCATCCCTGGCGGTGCGGAGGCCTCGGCCGGCCCCGACAGAGACCCGCGCTGCGCCCCTTCCCCGGGAGAGAAGGGTGGACCCTTGGAAACTGGAAGAGACAGCCCGAGGGAAATAGCAGCCGCCGAGGGCGCAGAGGGGGCTCTGTCTGTCACTCTCTGTGTGTGACTCTCTCTGGTCTCTCTCCTTGACTTTCTGTTTCTCTGTCTCTGTCTCTCTCTGTGTCTCTCCATGTGTGTCTCTCTGTCTCTGACTCATTTTCCATCTGTGTCTCTCTATATGTCTCTGTTTTCCACCTGCGGGTCTCTCTCTCTCTCTCATTTCTTTTGGCTTTCTGCCACGGGGGTGGGGGGTGCATTCAATAAGAAAGCAGGGGGAGCCCCAGACAAGTTTGGCTTTCCTTCCTCTGGTCAGTGCCCCTTGGCCTAGGCTGCTTACGGGGTCCTCCCCGTGGGGCTCCTCTTAGGAGAAAGCAGGGCGTGCTGATAACGTTCTTTTGTCTTCTCAGCCTGGAGGCCCGCATAGTGGGAAGCGTAGGCGGCCGTGGCTGGGCCCCAGGACTCCTTAGTTGAAAGCTGGGGGTAGGGGTTAGGGGGAGAGAAAGCCCTTTCCCCTTGATTGAAAAACCGTTCCGAGAAGCGCGGCTCTAAATCTCGACGTATAGATCTCCGATGTGTCAACAGAGATGCGTCTATATGTTAAAGTTTTGCCCGGCTGCAGCGTTTGTTCTCAGGAATTTATTATGGTATTCAGACTAAACTGCTGGAAAAATAAAAGGAGCAAAAGTCTTGGCTAGGAGCTGAAGTGTCCCCAGCAGGATATGACGCCAGGAGTGTTGTAAAGACTGTCTGTCCCTAGAGAAGGTACCATTGTGCATAGTCTTTTATTTATAACTTGGTAAGTGCCAGCGAACTCGCCTCCTTTACACCCTCGAGTGCCAGCCCCGCGCTCTGCGCTGCGCTTTATTCGCTCGAGTCTATTCAAGGACTGTCACTCCAGGGCCGCGAGGTATTCAGGGCCTTAATCAATCAAAAGGATGAGAATCGGGCAGGTTTTTCCCTTTGAAATAAAGAAAACAATGACTACTGGGCTTCAAGTTCCCCCTTTTCCTTTTACGATTTTTGAATTTTTCCTGCACCAAAGTTCTCCACCTCTTTCTCTCCGTCCCCCCTTCCCACACCTCTTTGACAGTTTTGACATGAACTCGGACTCCCAACTCTACTTCCCCACCCCCTAATTAAGGCAAACGAAGATAGCAAGATGATGAAAATAAAAAAATGTATAGCTGCTCAATCGCCTAGGAGTTGGCCCTTTAAAAACTCATTCCAAAGTGGGGAAAACAGATGAAGTTTTGCGCAGCCTGATGTCAAAGGCTTGGTTGATTCTCAGAGCAGCTGAAACAGGCCTCTAAAGACCCCCAAAAATGTCTGGACATTTTCCCCTACACACCCACCCATGGAGAAGGGCATGCACATTCGTAGTACAAAGCAGAGAAGCTGTTTGAAATGAAGCCCTGATTAACCTGGTTTTACATGAAATGATTCAATTTGTCAAGGGGAAGACTTTCTCATTTCCTCTTTGAGGACTGGGGGCCACCAAAGTCTGTGTCCTTATATCCTAAGCCAATTCTCAGGGAGAGCATCCAGGAAACTAGACTTTTTCCAACTTTTCTGCCTCTGGAGGTTGAGCGAGGCCGGCAGAGCACTTTCTAGGGTCAGCGGTAATTACTGGAGGAGGGAGGTACAGAAAGTGTATTTCAAGAGGGCAAATGCAGACTCAAGTCTCTGCTAAAAGGAACCTCAGGCCCTGCAGTGAGTGGTGAAAGACTGTCTGGGGCTGTCTGCTTTGTTCTTGAGCTGCGGGCTCTGTCTGCAAGCCCTCCTGGTGCTGACCTGGTGTTCTGTCTCCTGAGAGCCAGCAGACTCGTGAAGGGATGTGCTTGCTGCATACTCGTTCTCCCGGGTTCCGTTAGCTGGAGAGCAGGCGGGACCCCCGAACGCGGGTGCTGCAGATTGAACTGGTGTCAGGCCCATGGGTGCCAGTCAGCATGCACATCCAAGAACAAGCCTCCACTTGCTCTAAAACTGCACAAATGGAGGCCACAAAGATTGGGAGCCTGAAGCTCCAGAGTCGGAGGCGACCCATTTTCTCCCTTTCCCAGCCTCTCCCCGCCCAACGCTCAGCTGAGCACATCTCCACCCGGACAGCAGCTCGAGGGCCCTGCCGACTCGGAGGGCCGTGGGTGGGCACCCTCAGGTTCTGGACAGCTGGGCCACTTTCAGAGACCTTGGGAGTCCAAATTTTCTGTGGTCGGTATCCCCGAAGTCCATCCCAGGAGGGCCAGGACGGCTATGTTGGTTGACGCTCCCCAGCCAGTGGCCCCACCCGAGGCCAGACCAAACCAGGCCCAGAGATAGGTACTCGGCAGAACTGCAAGCAACAGGTCATGGGAGGGCCGGGTGACTCCTGGTTTCCCAGACTGGTTTTGAAGAACGTACCCCAGTTTGATTCTGCAGTCATTCCCCATCTCCGAGACTCAGGCCTCCCCCCACCTCTTACTTCTTTCCAAAGTCTTTCCGGAAGCCGAAGCCACCCCGCCCCCAACTCCTCGCGGCTGTGAGGGAGTCTCCACCCAGGCCACTTCCCATGTCCAGAGCCTGTGGGACGCGAAGCCCTGGTGCCGGATCTGGCAGCGGTACAGGCGTAAATTAGCCAAGGAATGACCCAGTGCTGAGGGCCCGCGCCCTGTAGCCCCGATCCCAGGTTTGGGAGGCAGCATCATTTCCCCAGGCTGACAAATTACCCAAAAAGCGTCCAGTTTTGTAGACAATTTTGTAAACGAGCGTGGCGTCCATTCGCCCTATCTGTGCACATGCAAGATAAAAGTGGAGCCTGAAGGACAGTAGTACGATAATTTGACCAAAAAAAAAAAAAAAAAAAGGAAACGACTTGATGTCGCCTTCTCTGTTTCTCTGCCTCAGTTACAGCTACACTTCAGGTGAAATAGACAGCGGGCTGGCTGTCCAGGCCTGGGGGGAGCACCCCGTTCACTTAAAGGCTCTCCCTCCCGGGCTGTTTGGATGCGTGGATTTGCATTCCAGTCGCGGTTGGGTGGCTTCTGCCTTTGCCACGCGACACCCTTCAGGGCGTAGCCACTGCCTTTGGGGATCCCTGCACAAACATTTCATGGCCCACGGGCTTCTCCGGGCCTCTGAGGGATGACCTCACTTCCAATCGGACATAGGTCTTAAGAGAAAATGAAGATCTATGCAAAATAATGTCCCTGACCTATGGGGGAAGGGAGTGACGGCGTCTGCCACCCCGGTCTTTTTTGCCCTTTCTGAAGGGCAGAGCTGAAGCAGACTGACGTGGTCCGGCGGCGGGGAAGCGCCTGGCCGCCCTCCCGGCCGCAGACGTGACTCTCAGGATGCTGTCCCAAGTTGGGCAAAGGCCGAGAAACCCTCGGTCCCACCCAAAGGCAGCCCCGCGCTCACGGGGAGGAAATCAGAACGTCAAGTTTCTGATCACGAGCTGCCTGGCCGGATGCGATGAGACCGGATTGGGGACTGCGCGGGTTAGACCCAGGGCGCATCGCAGCCACTGACGCAGCGACCGTCATTAGGCCCCCCGCAGTTTTTTGTCAAAAGCATTGGCGCCGCTCTTCTCCCCGTCGGAAAATCGGTCGGGATGAGTTCGGCTTCGGAGACTGGGTGAGGATCTGGGCGCCGCACTGTGGGCCAGCAGCGGCGGGTTTGCCCCTGGGGTGCCCCGGCGCCCGGAACGTGTGAGCCAGTTCTCAATACAGAACACATGGTTGGGGGGGGGGGGGAGAGATGGAAAAGAGGAAAAGGAAAAGAACGGAGAGAAAGAAGAGGAATGAAAAAAAATCAAAGGCAGTGAGGGAAGGAGAGAATCAATCTCATGGCAACTTGTCTCCTACAGAAGTTCATTTGGGTCTGAGAAAATTATTTTTACGCAGACAAAAAAGAGAAGATGCCAAAGCCCCATTCTCCAGGGGGAAAGCGTCTGGTAAAAAATTAAAATAAGTCCTCTCTAATCTTCAAAAAATGTTCTGCCCAACTGGGGGAGGGGGAGGGGGGAGGGGCGTTGGTACTTAGAAGGGAATTTCGGAAACTGCTGTGCGGTGTGTGGGTGCGTGTGTAGGGGCTGCGGGGCCTTACGCAGCCGGGGACTGGGGGTAGAGAGGAAGGCAAAGAGTGGGTGAAGGGGGGATCAGAGATGGGGAAAGTGAATAAGGTGAGCCTGAGGGTCTGTAGGTTTATTTGACACGTGGAGCACAAAGATGGTCAAATGACCACTCCAGGAACTCCTGCCCCAGGGCCTCTGGACAACAAGAGCTGGGACTTCGCGTCCCGCACTCGGGGCCAGAGGGGAGCGGGTACCGGGGAGAGCAATGTGCGGGGGGAGCTAATACGCCTTTCACTTGGATCAGGACAGGCCTCTTCCCTGACTCCAGGCGGCCCCAGTGTCCGAGCCAGCGCCGTGAACCGCCGCCGCTTCTCAGCCTGGATCCCCTCAACCCCGTAGGCAACTTTTCCTCCGGGTGCATTTCAGCGAGAGGAATGGGGGTGGAAGGGCGGGGGACGGAAGGAGCAAGAAAAGAGAAACCTGGGCAGCTAATGTTCAAACGCAGGGACTTGCCTCTGAGCCCGGACGCACGCCACAGTGCAGTCACGCGAGCCCGAGGCGACAGGCTGCGAGGGAGCCCGGCACCCGCGCTCCTGGGGTTTTAAAGCGCGCCTGGAGCCGGAGACTGAGCAGTCCACTGAGCGAGTAAATACGACAGGTGGAGAAGGCAGCGTTGCCAGGGGCCGGGCCGGGCACGATCTGGCCAGAGCCTGGGGGGACGCAGGCCCAGGACTGGGGGAGATATTAGGAAGTGTGCTGTGCCCACCTGTCTCTCCGACACCCCCGCCCGGGTGGGGGTGGCCCCTGAGAGCGCAACGGCGCACAGACAAGGGGAGAGGACCTTCTCGCCGCGGGACCCATTTCAAGGGAGGGAGGGAGAAAAAGGAAAAGAAAGAAAGAGGAAAAAGAGAAAGAAAGAGAAAAAGACTCATCACTACAACAAAAACAGGACGCCTCAGCCCTTTGAATCTCTAGGCATGACGCGTTAAATTCCTTTCTAGACATTAAACTTTTTCTCCTTCTCCCACCCCCCAGGAAAACATCCATTTCCTTGGTAAAATAAAGTCTCTCTTTCTTGAGATAAATTTTGCAACTAGTCGTAGGCCTTAGGGCAAGGGGTGGGGGGTGGGGGAATGCTTAAGAAGCTTGGATATAAAAGAACCGTGAGGGGAAACTGAAAAGAAGAAAACGGACTGACCCTCTCGGAGGCTGAAACCGATCGAAAGAGCCAGCCAGACGCGGTGATTTAGCTAGAGGGGACATCGGACAGACCCCGCACAACCGCCGCCCGCCCAGAGCCAGCTCGCAGAAGGCTACCCCGGGTCCCATTGGTGGCCCGGAGCGCAGGTCACCCCCGAGGCCTTGCTTCCTCGCCCCGGAAAACCCCGTGAGGGGCGTCCCAGCCCCCAGATCCCCAACATCCAGCCCTGGCCAAGAGTTAAGACAAGTAGCCCCAAGAGGAATGAGCTTCAGAGAGCGGTTTTTTTTTTTTTTTTTTTCTAAACGAAATCTAATACCATCTGGCTGCAAAAATATATATCACCGGCCCCGAGTCTGAAAGATTAACATTTGGATATGTAGGAAACGTAATCTGCATGGCTAATTGATTCCTAGCGTATCAGTTTAAAGGATAAAGATCGATATCTACATGATGGATATTGTATTAATAGGGACATAAATAAAGGCCGAAGAATCGTTACCGAAACCTTTGAAGCCATTTCCCGGCTCTTAGGCCCTCCACGCCGTCTCCCCCACCTCCCCGAGCACTTGCTTCCACCACCCGGCGTGGGGGTGGGGGAGTCTACGGTTTAAGCGACAGTGTATTTTAATGCGGCTGTAGCAGGTGAACAGTCAGGCGGCAGAGAAGGTGGTGTTTTAGCAAAACGCAGCACACACTCAGATATTTAGAAACACAGGTAAGACCTACACAGGGACACACACAGCCACACATGTTCACACACACACATTAACAAGCAAGGGGTGGGTTCCTAGTGTTCCCTGAGAGCCCTTTGGCCTTGGGGACACGGAAACAGCTCTTTCCATCCGGCGGCCACGTCCCGGAGCGCACCGAAGGAAGCCCTGGCTCAGCCCCAGGGATCGGTGATCTGGGCTCCTGGAGGTGCCCTCTGGATGGGGTGAGCGGGGAGGTATGAGGAGGCGCCGCGGGCAGCGTGCGGGGTGGGCGAATGCCCTCCGTGTCCCCAAGTGTACGTCGAGGGAAGGAGACTCACCTCCAGGGGTGGATGCATATGGAGTTGGGGGCGGAGTCTAAGTCCCAGAGAGTGGAACCCCATAGACCTCCGGGCAAGGGGAACAAGTCGGGGTACACCTGATCCGGAACAAGAACGCCTCAGTCTGGTGGTTGCCAATTAGTCTTGGGTCCCAGCGGTTGCCTCCACCGCGGAGCCCAAGCCGCCGAAGGAATTTTCCAAATGCAAATAAATCACCCTTCGTGCCCCCCTTTTCCATTAATTAAGAGGAACGTTTCGACAAAACGAGCATAATCTTTATTAATTACGCAGCTCTCAGTGCGCCATTCGCCATCAATCATGCCCAAAGCGAAAGTACAAGGGGCGCCTGATCCCTTCCCAAAGCGCGTTTGGAAAAGGAGCCGAGATGCCGGCGTTTCCACAATTACTTCCACCTTTTCTGGGCTCTCGTGCACTGGCGGCCAGACCAGACGCGGCTCGCCGGGCCCCGCGGGGAGGCCTTTCCCTGAACCCGGAGCCGGCTGCGCGCTGGCCCGACGGCTCCCCGAGTCCGGAACGGCCCTGGGAATATCACCCACTCACGCACGTCCAGTATTTGGTCACGCGCTCGTATGACTTGTGCGGACACACCTTACGGCCCATGTCCTGTGCCCTTCGCCCCTCTGGGCCCCATTGGGTTCCCCATCCTCTCCCTTCCTCGGATGCGCCGAAGAAGCCTGACAGAAAACGATTCTGCAAGGCCCAAATTCCAGCTGAGCAGCGATCCTGGGGAGATTCACTTTATCCCTGGGGCGAGGAGGCAGACAACCCAGTTCAGTTGCCCGGAGGACACCCCGGAAAATTGCCCTGGGGGTGGGGTGGGGAAGACCTTAGAAGCTGTCCAGAAGACCAACCTCTCCCGGGCGCCCAAGTGTAATAGGACGAGGATGATCGCACAACGCAGGTGCGTGCGCTGGGGGAGGAGGACCCCCTCCAGTTCTTGGCAAAGAGACCCAGGAAAGCTCGCAGCCTCCGGGTTGCAAGTGGGAAAACTGGCTGGAGGGGAGGGGGACAAATTCAGGGTCCTTCCGGGTAGCCCCGCCGCACAGTTGTCCGCTAAAGCAGAGACCCTCCCAACCTGGTGGGGTTTGACCTCTTTGCCAGAACTTCCCCCAACCTCCACTCCCACTCACTCTCCCAGCACCATCCTAGCAGGTCCTGCCCTCTGCGCTGAGCTTGGATCATCCGGGGAGGAGATTCCTTGACTGCAGCCCCTTAAAGAGATTCTTTGGGATTAAAAATAATAATAATAATAAAATTAAAAAATAATAAAAAAGGAGTAGTTCAGTGTTCAAACCTAACAGGACAATGATATCCGAGGCCCTAGGGGATAAGGAGGAGCAGCACAAGTCCTCTTCCTGGACCCTGGGCTCTCTGAGAGCGAAGATCGATGGGCCCCCGAGGGACGCTGATTACGCTCCTAGATGCCTGTCCTGGGTTTTTCAATCCAATTATAAAAGCTGGATTAAGCCTGGCATCGGAGGTCGGGCGCTCCGCGGATACTCGCCCTAAAGGACCGGCCCGTCTATCCTTGCATCCTTGCGCGCCCTTGGCAGAAAGAAGAAAGAAAGAGAGAGAGAGAAAGAAAGAAAGAAAGAAAGAAAGAAAGAAAGAAAGAAAGGGGAAAGAAGAAAGAAAGAGAGAGAGAGAGAGAGAAAGAAAGAAAGAAAGAAAGAAAGAAAGAAAGAAAAAAAGAAAGAGAGAGAGAGAAAGAAAACTGCTGGAAATAGAGAGGATTACTCCAAACTGAAAAGGTGGGAGAGAGATAGAGCCCAAATACCAGAATACTATTACTAAGATATATCTGATAAAGATAATCCTAATTGATGTTCCTCATAGAATCAAGTTGTATTCATACTAGGCAAGGATGAATGACTATTACCAACTCGAAGGACATATTTGCACTCTTCCAAAATATGTGGGCATGGGGGAGAGACACTTGTATATTGGAGATAGCAGGAAATAGGCGGTTGAGGTGAGGAAAAAGATATTAGGAAGAGATAGTAGTTACGATACTACCATATGCTAGACACATTACATACACCCTTACTTAGTATCGACTTAAGAATAATTCTATTTGGTTTGCTCCCACGATTATAAAATTCATTTATTTCAAAAATAAAGTAAAATAGAGGTTGGACTTTGCCAGCTTAAACATTGCATAAGTGCAGAGTGATGGGAGAAGGGGTGAACATGAATAAAACGAATTCTTGGAACAAATTCTTTTAAAGCAGAGGTTATAGAGGTGCCAGGGTGGGGGGCTCAGAGAAGGGGATGTCACTATCCCCTACCCACAACCACAAGTTGCTAAGCCATCTTGCCCGTCGTCTATCTCAGTCTTTGTCACACTCTCCATGAGACTTCTCCAAGGAGGTGTCCAGTGTCCCGGGGCTGGCAGCATGAGAACTCAGAGAGCTTGGTGTTTCTTGGTTCAGTTGCATGGGTTCCCCATCCAAATAAGCTGAATAAACTATCTCAGGAGAACTGGGGGAATCTGTGGTGACAGCAGTACTTAATGATAATGGTGAATTATAATAGTAATAGTATATATATATTGAGTGCTTAGTAGGCAAGGGCATAGTTCTCAGTACATTACAAAGATTCATTTACTTACTGCTCAAGGTTATGTCTAGTTAAAAATGAGGAAAAGGAGGCACAGAGAGGTTAAATAACTTGCCCGAGGTCGCATAATTAAATTTAAATCCCTGCTAAGATTTAAACCCAGGACGATGTTATGTTGCTAGTACCTTTGGGAAGGAAAGCCCTAATTTTCTACCACTTTGATCAGCCCCAGAAGAGATGAACTCTGGAATCTACCTACCTACTTCTCCTGTCATTGTTTACTTTGTTCTGGTAGTAATTAAGTTTCAAGAAAGCTACCTTTAATTCCTTGAAGGAGCACCGACCAAATTTATCTCGATTGAAAAGAATTTGAAAATTTGCTCCACCTCAATTCCTTTGGAAACACATCCAATGATATAATCCCACTTAAACCGGGGAGAATTTTATTTATTTATTTATTTTTGGCGGCTGGCCCGTGCAACGGGGATCCGAAGCCTTCACCTGAGTGTTAGAAAACCGTGCTCTAACAAACCGAGCTAACCCGCCAGCCCCTCCCAGGGAGAATTGATGAGCCCGTGTTCCCACCCCAAGAAGAACCTGAGACACCTGAGCGTCATCCCTCCGCGCTAATTCGGGCGGGACACGTGGTAGGAGGGGAATATGAATATTTGCATAATGAATTCAAGTCTTCTTGCCTTCCTGCTACAGCCGATCAGCTCAGTATTTGGAAAGTGGCGTTTTCGGGGCTCCCCGAGGTCCTCTTCTGCCCCAAGCCCCTTGGCCAACCTCGCCTTCTTGCAGACCGCCACGTCTGAGATGGTAACGGCGTCGTGGAAGGTCTGGGGTAAGAATAATGTGGCTGCGGGGACGGGGAAGAGCCCGTCTTGGGACCCTGGACAAGAGATGCGGACGCGGCGCTCTCCGGGCAACTGGCAGGAATTGACAAACGAAACCGAAAGACTCCTAAAGGGTGTTCCAGCCACCCCCAACCCCCACCCCACCGCACCCCCGCCTTTCGTGTCCGTATCACGCTGACCTGACTCACCCGGACAAGGACAGGGTGTGTCAAGACACTTTTTGCACCTTTGGAAGACGAGGGGAGAACAGGGAACACTCGGCTGGGGTGGGTTTTCGGAAGCTGCTCTGCGCTGATGTCCCCAAGTCCCTGCTGGGGGCCAAAAGCGCCAGAGAAGCGAAGGACTGAACTAAGGCGACTCCCCGCCGCGCAGGCTGTCGCGGCCACCGCACGCTGCGTCTGTTTTCATCCAAAGCTACCTATTTGGGGCATCTCTGGTATTTTTAAAGATAGATGGAAACGCGGAGCTTTCGGGTGGTGCTGAGAGCGGCCCCTGGACATTCGGGGACGTTAAATACACTATCTGGCCATAAATAATATACCCTTCAGACCCCGAAATGGGGGACCTCACGAAATCAGGAGAAATAGCTTTCAAGAGACCACGTTCCATACAAAGACAAAACAAACAAAATCTAAGCGGAGATTCCGAGTGACTGGGTTGACAAAATACCGGAACAGCTGACTCCCTCCACGCGCGATAAGTGAGCTCGTGGCAGTGTCCTTGTGCCTTCGATTTCTCCCCCGACCCTCGCCTGCCTTTCCGGATCTCAAGCCCCCGGGTAACTGGGCTGGGAATTGGAGCCAAGATCTGCTAAAGGGACAGCCTAAAGTGTGGTCGGCCCAGCAGAACGGGGATCAGCTCCTGTCACTCTGAGTGGCCTCTGGTTTTGTCTAGTCCAGGAGGCCTCTGGGGGCTGAGGGTGACTGCACCAACCCCGGAATGCGGGATTCCACCCAGCCGACCGGAGAGCCGCCCCCGGGGGTCCCAGTTGCAGTGGCTGCCCCCGGGCCACCGTCCCGCGCACTCAGACTTTCCCCTGAGATCCCTTCGGCTCAGCTAGGAGCCTCGGTAGGTGTCCGCGCCCAGAGAGAAATCCAGGTGATCCCCCGCTTCCCACGGACCGCGGGCACAAAGGTCTCAGCGC